TTTTTTAAGTTTATTTATTGAGAGAGAGTGTGAGCATGCATGCAAGTAGAGGAGGAACAGAGAGGGAGAGAGAATCTCAGGCAGGCTTGATATTGTGAGTGCAGAACCTGATGCGGGGCTTGAACTTACAAATCATGAGATCATGACCTAAGCCAAAGTCATATGCTTCATTGACTGAGCTACCCAAGTGCCCCTGCTTTTCAATTTTTTTAATCAAAATAATATATACACATAGTTTAAAAGACAGTAGTGTTAGAAACCTAAAAATGCACTCATTCCTTTTCTCTAAGTACAACTACTTTGAACTCATAGCTATTCCTCCTGTTATAAACAGTCTTATTTTTTTAACAACGATGTACATTTTGAGTTACTAATTTTGAACATTGCCTTTCATATTGCTATTAGGATAGATAACCATTTTAACTTTTTTAGGTTTACTCCCTTTGCCTTCTCACATTCTTTTAATAGTTTTAGCTCAGTTTTTTTCCATACAATAAGTAAAAATAGACACTATATAATTTTTCCCCTTTAGACCTCAGGTTCATCCTTGATCCAGAGGTGGTATGTTTATGTTTATCTAATAACTGTAATAAACATTCTAAATTCAAAAGAACATTGACAGTATTGTATATTTAACTATCATATTTTTAACTATCTTTTTTTTTTAATTTATTTCTTTCAAGAGAGAGCATGGCAAGGTCACAGAGAGAGTGAGTGAGTGAGAATCCCAAGCAGTCTCTGCACTGTCAGATCAGAGCCTGACATGGGGTTTTGTCTCACGAACTATGACGTCATGACCTGAGCCAAAAAAATCAAGAGTCAGATAGATGCCTTACCAACTGAGCCACAAAGTCACCCCTAACAATCATTTTTATGGCTGCATTTTTAATGCCTATAGTTACTCATATAATCTATTTAAGGTATTATTGAATTAATGATATAAAAAACTTTCTTGTCCAGTTTATTACTTTGTAAATCTAATGCCTAACTCAGTACCTTACATTTAATAAATGTATATTTTTTTAATTTAATAAATATTGACTAAGATCCTTTGAATAAAGTAAAGGAACAACAAAAGTACGCTGTATACACAGAATTTGCCCACCACAGCCTTAGGTCTAGGGAATAATTTTGAAGAGCATTATAGGAAGGATTAAGAAGTCTTGGAAGTACAATAACTCACTTGTGATAGTAGAGTCATTCAGTTTGCCTTAGTCATTGGATGCCATTCTCTTGGATGGTGTGGCTTTTGTGAATCCTACCTTGCCCTCTAGCTACAAGGTAGAGTCTCAAGTTACTGTTGGGATGCCCTTGAAGGTGCTGTGCCATGCTTTGTATTCTGTACTCACTCCTCAGCCCCATTATGTTTCCTCCTTTTTCCTTCCCTTTCAATTTCCCCTTGTCCTACAGAATTTTTCACAATTTTGTCATGACAAGGCCAACACATAAATTTGCTATCAATTTATAGTCAATTCATAATTAAAACTAGAGTTTTTTTTTAAAACAACTTTCAATGATAGGATATTTTCCAGAGCAGATTCCACTATCCTACTTTAATTCCTAGCAAAACAGAGGCTAAGTGGGAATTAGTGCTCAACACAAGTTGCTGTGGTTATGGGCCCACCTCCATTAGCAGCAGGAAGTCAGACTGGTTTTATATGGCTGCTGCCAGATCCTCAATTACTAGATTAAATTCACCTTGAGATACTTGGGGGAGATTTTTAGGATGGGTCTTGTGAATCCTCAGTGGCTATTAGCAGGTTTGCCTTCTATTCAGACGTGCTTAAATTTTTATTTTTTATGTTTATTTTATTTATTTTTGAGAGAGAGAACGAGAGAGAGATGAAGCAGGGACAGGGAGAGAGGAGGAGAGACAGAATCCCAAGCAGGCTCCACACTGTCAGCACGGAGCCTGACACAGGGCTCAAACCCACAAACCATGAGAGCATGACCTGAGCCGAAATCAGGAGTTGGACACTTAACCAACCAACCCAGTTGTCCTGCATGTACCTACATTTTTAAATAGAGGTATACTATTTACATGTTGTAGAAATACTCATATTTTGACTCTGATTTTCCACATTTCTAGGAATCTAAAGGAACAACAAAGTAAGCTGTATTTGTTAGAAAAAATTTAAAGTGAACTAAATGCCCAGCAGTCATGATATAACTGTCTGTTAGGATAATACATTTTTTTAATATGTGTCCTTAAAATACTTATCAAGCAGTTTATTTAGTCAAATGGAAAAGATACCACATAAATGAAAAATACAGGAAATCAGAATTATTAATATAGTAGTAATGCATTTGAATGTATATGAAGAAACAGAGGCAAAAGTTTAAATAGTTATTGTTGGAAGTAATAAAATTATGGATTATCTTCTTTCTTTCCCAAACTTTCTATATTACTGTTTTGCCTTTATAACAAAATTGTAAGAAACAAGCAAACAGATCAGTGTTTAAAATAGTCCAAGCCTTCTGTCCACTGAGAGGTCCTGGAAGCACTGACACACAAAAAGCAACAAACACTCACATCTTGGTTTCTTAATACAATTTTCCAACAAAAAAAGGTAACCATGCCTCCTTAGAGAAACGTCTGATTCCAGGGCTGGGGCAGAGAAAGAACAAATGATCCTGCAGCAACTTCTTGCTCCAGAAAGTAAGAAGCTGCTCAAAGAATGATGAAGATGTAGCAAAAGGACATTGAAGTCACCCTGAAGGGGCCACCACAGGACAAATCTGGGAACTGGAACATCAAGCTAAATAGTATTAATAACTTAAAACTCACTGAAAAGTAAAAACCCATGAATCCATACTGTTAGGTCTGAAGAAAAAGTCAGAAAAAGATGGGCTTTTATTATTGTATTGTATTTTTTAAGGAAAAGATGAGCTTTTTTTTTTTTCTTTAATTTTGAATTTATATTTTAGAGGAAGGGAGCAAGTGAGAGCAGAAGAGAGGGGCAGAGGGAGACAAAGAGAGAATCCCAGGCAGGCTCTACACTCCGTGCGGAGCCCGACACAGGGTTCCCAAGACCCCAGGATCATGACCTGAGCTGAAATCAAAAGTGGGACACTCAACGGACTGTACCATCCAGGCACCCTGGAAAAAGATGGACTTTTAACTAAAAACACTCATGTGGAGTCACTCTAACAAAGTTCCAAATAGATCTCAGATTAAGATTTTTTTAATTAAAATTGAGGGTCATGTCAGCAAAATGGTAAGATGAGCAGTTTGAAGCTCATGTTCCCCACAAACTTTGAAAAATAAACAGCAACTGTTAGAACCAATTTAGAACTCTGTAAAGTAATCCAGGGTGTACAGCAGCCAACCAAATGGTGAATCAAGAAAAATGCAACTCAGGGTGCCTGACTGCCTCATTTGGTGGAGCATTTGACTCTTGATCTCAGGGTTGTGAGTTCATGTTCAATCTCTGCATTGGGTGTAGAGATTACTTAAAAATAAAACATTAAAAAAAAATTGCAGCTTGGGGTGCCTGCGTGGCTAGTCGGTTAAGCAGCTGTCTTTGGCTCAGGTCATGATCTCATGGTTCATGGGTTTGAGCCCCACGTCCATCTCTGTGCTGACAGCCAGCTGAGAGCCTGGAGCCTGTTTCGGATTCTGTGTCTCCCTCTTTCTCTGTCCCTCCCCTGCTCACACTGTCTCTCTCTCTCTCAGAAATAAATCAAACATTAAAAAAAATTGCAACTTAACACCAGTGGCAAAAATAAATAAAAAATAAAAACAGACAAAATAAAAAATGGGTAAAAGACGTGAACAGACCTTTCTCCAATGAAAGTGTAGACAAAAGACCAGTAAGCACATGAAGAAGATGCTCAACACCACTAATCACAATGAGCTACCACTTTAGTAGGGTGGGTGTTACTCAACAAAATAGCAAGTATGGGGACCTGGCTGGCTCAGTAGAGCATGTGACTCTTGATCTCAGGGTTATGAGTTCAAGCCCCATGTTGGGTGCAGAGATTACATAAAAAAATAATAAAACAACAAGTGTTGAGAAGGATGGGGAGAAATTAGAAACCTGGTCCATTGCTGGCAGAAATTATTCATAATAGGGGCTCCTGGGTGGCTTAGTCGGTTAAGCGTCCGACTTTCACTTAGGTCATGATCTCGCAGTTCGTGGGTTCGAGCCCCGCGTCGGGCTCTGCTGACTGCCAGCTCAGAGCCTGGAGCCTGTTTCAGTCTGTGACTCCCTCTCTCTCTGACCCTCCCCTGCTCACGCTGTCTCTCTCTCTCTCTCAGAAATAAATAAAACAAAAAAAAATTTTAAAGAAATTATTCATAATAGCCAAGAGGTGGAGACAATCCAAACGTCTATCAACAGATTAATGTGTAAACAAAATATACCTACAGTGGGATATTATTTAGCTGTAAAACGGAGTGAGTTTATGTTAAGTGAAATAAGCCAGACACAAAAGGACAAATATTGTATGATTCTATTTATGTGAAATATAAGGCAAATTCATAGAGACAGAGGTAGAGTAGAGATTACTAGAGACTGGGAAGAGAGAGGAATAGATAATTATTGCTTAATGGGTGCAGCGTTTGTTTTGGGAAGTTGAAAAAGTCTTGGAAATGGATAGTGGAAGTGGCCATACAGTATTATAAATATAATTGATGCCAATGAATTATATACTGTACATCCTGTCAGTTTGCTTCCCCAAGGAATTCTAAAACAGAATAAGAATGTTATATTCACTTCTGTTTGTTAAACCAAAGGGTATAATTTTTTGTCATCATTTTTAAGAAATATTTCTTTTGTTGGAAGATTATTAGACTCCAGAATTTATTTTTTATTACTTTTATACTTTCTGGATGAAAATGAGAGCTTCAAGTTTGGTCACACAGGTTCTTAAGACCCTTGCAGTGCTGCTTTAGGAGTAACTAATAATTTATGTTAAAGTATATTCATGCATAAAAATGTATGTATCTAAAATACTAGATTGAGGACATTAGCTTTTGTTTATTTTTACTTTTACAGTAAGGCAAAAGAGAATGAAAGAAGTAGATAACCTTGAAAGTATAAAAGAAGAATGGTAAGTTAATTTGAATTTTCTCTTTTATTAATGCCCTTCTTAGTTTCTATTTTTACTGCATTTCACTAACTGATGTTGTAAGTTTTCATTATGGTTCTTTTAGGTAATGAACTAATGATAATATATTTTAAAATAATTTATTATTCAAAGCTGCATTGAATAGATTTTAACAAAGTTATTAAATGTTTTTGTTGTTAATAAAAATGTGTTAAATTTCTCTCTGTTTGCATATTACTTCTGTTGTTTAAGTGAGAAATTGAAGTAATTGTTGACTTTTTTAGCCTCTTGGGTTGTACTATCTTCGAGTCATAGTGGAAGTATAAATGGCTCTGGAGTCAGATAAGCCAAGTTTGAATCCTTTCACTGTCCTTACCCTCTCTTTGGCCTTTCAGCAACTTAAGTTAAACAGAGGTGGGGGTGGGGTGAGGATGGGCATGGCAGGCACAGTGCCTGGGTGGCTTCCTTGGTTGAGTGTCTGACTCTTGGTTTTGGCCTCGGTCATGATCCCAGGGTCATAGGATCAATCCCTGCATCGGACTCTGTGCTGAGTGTGGAGCCTGCTTGGAATTCTCTATCTGTCTCTCCCTCTGCCCTTATCTCTGGCTTGTGCTCCCTCTCTCTAAAATAAAATAAAATTAAAATTAATAAGTAAAAAATAAAACAGAGGTGGGGTACATATATGTATATATGTATATACCTGAAAGATATGTATGTATTTATTTATTTTTAATTTATTTTAAAGAGAGAGTGAGCCCACAGCTGGGACTCCATAAATGGTAGGTGTAAAGTCTATGGTTCTTGTCAGTCAGTATAGAATATTTTATTCTGACTTATCTAAGATGAAATATTTTTTTGTATTATGCTGTTTGTTTTAAATACTTGAGGTACGGGGCGCCTGGGTGGCTTAGTCGGTTAAGCGTCCGACTTTCGCTTAGGTCATGATCTCGCGGTTCGTGGATTCGAGCCCCGCGTCGGGCTCTGTGCTGACTGCCAGCTCAGAGCCTGGAGCCTGTTTCAGTCTGTGACTCCCTCTCTCTCTGACCCTTCCCTGCTCACGCTGTCTCTCTCTCTCCTAGAAATAAATAAAACATTAAAAAAAAAAACTTTTAAATACTTGAGGTAAATTTCTTCCATTTATAGTCCATTTAAGGAGATAGACAAGTATTTATTTCATACTTAGAAATACTTTGTAAATGCTTCTGTACTGAGCAAATGTTTTTAAGAATTTTTTTTTAACATTTATTTATTTTTGAGAGACAGAGAGCATGAGTAGGGGAGGGGAAGAGAGAGGGAGACGAAGAAACTGAAGCCGAATCCAGGCTCTGAGCTGTCAGCGCGGAGCCTGATGTGGGGCTCAGAGCCACAAACCGTGAGATCATGACCTGAGCCAAAGTTGGATGCTCCTACTGAACCACCCGAGTGCCCCACTAAACAATTTGTTACTTTCTCATTACTTACTATTGTGTGTATTTGATACTAACTATATAATTGTAAGATTGTGTTAGGGGCCTTTAAGACCACTCCCAGGTTTAATGATTTGCTGAGAGAATGCATGGGATTCAGTATATAGTCATACTAATGGCTATGATATTTTATAATGAAGGGATACAAAGAAAAATCAGCTAGGAGAAAAAAGCACATGGGGAGAAGATCAGAGGAAACCAGGCACAAGCCTTCAAGAGTCCTTGCCTGGTGGAATCACCTGGGATGCTCTCAGTTCTCCCAGTGATAAGTGAAGACAACGCATTTGAATTGTTGTCTACCCAAAATTCATTGGAAATTAGCTTAATTTGTTTTCATTTTTACCCCCTCCTTCGGTGTAAAAAAGGTGGGTTTATTAAAGCACAGGGACAGGACACATGGGCAGAAAGAGCTGCCTAGCCTAGGGTTTTTATTGGAAGCTAGTCATATACTAAAATTCCAGACTCAGGGACACCTTGGTGACTCGGCTGGTTAAGTGTCTTGAATCATGATTTCAGCTCAGGTCATAGTCTCACAGTTCATGAGGTTGAGCCCTGTGTTGAGCTCTGGGCTGATAACATTGAGCCTGCTTGGGATTCTCTCTCTCCATCTCTGCCTCTCTCTTTCTCTCCAAAATAAATAAATAAATTTAAAAAACTTGTTTCCAGAATCGTAAGGGAAGTAAGCAGACCTTTCGAAGGATAGCAGTCAGTAGCCAGGCCTGCTATATTAACTTTTTCTTGCACAAAAATAAATTGAATGACTGATTTTAACTTAGGACTTTTTTTCTTCCCAACAGCTTTATTGAGACATAATTCACATACCATATGATTCATCCATTTAAAGCATATAATTCAGTGCACTTTAGTACATTTACAGAGTTGTGCAAACATCACCACAGTCAATTTTATAACGGTTACATCACCATACCCATTAGTAGCCGTGCTTCCTTCTCCTACACCCTGGCCCGGACAACCACCAGTATACTTTCTGACTTTATAGATTTACCTATTCTGGACATTTTTATTTTATAAATGGAATCCTACAATATGTGGTCTTCTGGGATTGGCTTCTTTAACAATGTTTTCAAGCTTCATTCATGTTGTAATATGTATCAGTATTTTGAGTGTAATTAATTAGTAAGGTATCTACACAAAAAGATTAAGAATATTTTATAATTTTCTTTGTAACAAAGAGATTTTTGCAACAAAAATAGGTTTTGTTAGAAAGAGCAGTCCAGGGGTGCCTGGGTAGCTTAGTTAAGTGCCTGACTCTTGATTTCAGCTTAGATCATCGTCTCGAGGTTTGTGAGTTCAAGCCCCAGATCATAATCTGTGCACACAGCATGGAGCCTGCTTGGTTTTTTCCCTCTCCCTCCCCCTCCTTCTCTCCCTCCTCCCTCTTTTTCTCTGTCTCTCCCCCTCTCTCTCCTCAGTCCCTCCCCCCTCTCCCCCTCCCTCCTCCCTCCCTCCTCCCTCCCTCTCCCACTCTTTCTCCCTCTCCCTTCCCCCTCCCTCTACCCCTCTCTGTCTCTCTGTCTCTCTCTGTCTCTCTCTCAAATAAACATTTTAAAAAAATAACACTCCAGTAATAAAATGAAGACTGATTTCCTAAGTATATCAGTATTTCAAAGGCTAAAATAGTAAAGATCTATATTTCCTGTGTGCTACCAGAGCATACACAGATGCAGATAGATCCTTCACCCATTTGGACAATACCTAGCTCGTAACCTTATTTATTCAGCAGTAGTGAATGAGAAAGTCTGGAGCCAAAACAGATGTTTAAAGGTCCCTTTCTTGAACTTGTATGCTTTTTATTATTAGAAGAATTCCTGAAGCTTCAAGACTTTTTACTTCACTATAACAACTTTGATAATCTGGTTTTCACATTATGGAGAGGAGTATTGACATGTGTATTGTTGTGCCCGAATCGTGAGTCCCAGAGACCTCAAGGAGCCCGCACCGATGCAAGTACAAAAGGGTCTTTATTACAAGCTCGAGCGGGGGCTCACCAGCCTACCGGTGTCGGTGTCGGGGCAGCAAGGTGAAGCGAAGAACAATAGCGAACAGGGTTTTTAAAGAGTAAGGGATGGGGGTGTTACAGTACATGTAGCATCATCACATAAGCACCAATTACAATTACAGCTTTGACCATTCAGTATCTGTGAGGTGTTCATTACTTTTGGTGGGGCCCAATCATGACTTTTGAGAATCCTTTGAAAATGACCAATTATGAGGTGAGTTCAAAGGGCCCACGTGGGGCCACATGGGGTTCAGGCAAGCAGTGAGAAATTGGCTAGTTTGTATTTGCAGTTCCCAGCCTTGACTCAGACCATAGGAATGTTTCTTTTTACTTTTTTATTAGCTGAACTGAGGGCGGCCTGAGGATGGCTTTAGCCTTGAACAATCTGAGGCTTTTTCTGGGATTGGGACTGGGGCTACGTACAGCCTGAGGTTTCTCTTAATGGAGGACTTAATTTTTGGGTCTTCAGTATCTCATAAGAGGATAGCAAAGGGGAAAGGGAGACAGTAGAAACATAGATGAAATAATAACATTGTCTAGATGTTTTCAGTGTTAAGATAAGTGCTTGTAAACTCATATGCCCGTGGATTTTGCTGCACTATAGCTTAATATAGTACAATATAAAGAGATTCCTTGAATTATAAAGAAAAATTAAATGTGTACCTCTAATTTTTTTATGTGTCCAGGAATGTCTTTCATACTCTTTAAAAAGTATTATTAATAAACTTTGTTTTGGGGGCACCTACGTAGCTAAGCATCTGACTGTGGCTCAGGTCACGAACTTGATGATCTTGTGGTTCCTTGGTTTGAGCCCCACGTTGGGCTGTATGCAGACAGCTCAGAGCCTGGAGCCTGCTTTGGAATCTGTGTCTCCCCCTCTCTCTGCCCCCCTCCCCCCCCCGTGCTCGCTCGCTCGCTCTCTCTGTCTCTCTGAAAAATAAACATTAAAAGAATTTTAAACTTTATTTTTAAGAGTTTTACATAAATATTGAACAGTAAATACTCAGTTCCCATATACCTACCTCCACCCTACCCCACTCACAGTTTCCTCTACTAGTAGCATCTTGTATTAGTGGAGTATATTTGTTACAGTTGGGAACCAATGTTGATACATTATTATCAACTATAGTTTACATTTAAGTTCATTCTTTGTATTGTACAGTTCTTTGGGGTTCAAGAAATGATGTATATAGAGTTCTAGGTATTTTTTGTATTTTTTGGTAATGTTTATTTAATTTTGAGACAGAGAGAGAGACAGCATGAGCAGGGGAGGGTCAGAGAGAGAGGGAGACACAGAATCTGAAGCAGGTTCCAGGCTTTGAGCTGTCAGCACAGAGCCCGACGCGGGGCTCGAACCCATGAACTGTGAAATCATGACCTGAGCTGAGGTCTGATGCTTAAGCGACTGAGCCACCCAGGCGCCCAATGTTTATTTATTTTTTAGAGAAGGAGAAAGACAAAACATGAGTGGGGAGGGGCAGAGATAGGAGACACAGAATCCAAAGCAGGTTCCAGGC